CTGCTTAGAGTTGCAGCTCAGAGGCCTGCAGCGGCAGTCGGGGACGTTGGAGTCCTCCGTCACTGAAGCAAGCAAGCCTCATGTTAGTTTCAAGGTGCCTGGCTGGCGGCCGCCATCTTGGCTGGCAGTTAATTTGCATATCTCGCTGATTAGTCAATGGGAAGGGTAGCGGAAGGGTAGCGGTCGTACGCCAATTACCATGTTTCTCTTTTATTAGATAGGATGCTATTTAAAAGAACGCCGAGTATATGATTCCCTTTATAGGAAATGTAAAGAAATAGACAAAACCATAGAGAAAAAAGGGTATTAGTGGTTGTCGTAGAGTATTAGGGGGAGTAGGATGAAGAGTGACTAATGGGTATGAGATTTCTCTTTAGGGTGCTTAAAGTGTTCTGAAACAAAATAGTTGTTATGTTGCAGAACAGTGTGATTATAAAAAAAAAACCCATGGAGTTGCACAATTTCATATGGTGAATTATATGTTATGTGAAAGTTTATCACAAAAAAATTTGCTCCTCTCCCCCTGCCTAAAAGATGAAGTGACAGTGAATGAATTTACACTTCTACCTGAAGCAACAACAACAATAAAATATGAAAAGAGTTGAAACAATGGTTTTCCAGGCAGTGGACATCAGGCAATAAAAGACTTAAAAGAAGGAAAATAAAACTAGGTGAGTAAGACTATGACAGCCTCTGCTTACTACCTGAAAGAGTTTCCATGCCAAGGAGCAACAGAATGAACTGAGGCAGAGCCTAGACTTCATGAGTTGCAGAGACAGAAATAAGAGGCCAGGAAGACTAAGGTACCTTTCAAGTTCATGGCAGAATACCGAAGAAGAAAGAACTACACAAAGATAGAACCCAGGAAATCTGCAGAGGGTTCCCTGGAGTATTCAGCAGAAATTCTTCAGCACACAAATGTGACAATGAGGAACAAACTTCCCCAAAAGATTAGAGGGAACAGTGCCTGTCATTCAGGGTCAGGAAGAGTACCTGTTCCTACCAACCAGACTGGGAAAAAAACAGGCTGTATACAGAGGAACAATGATACAGATGACATCGGATTTCTCATCAGAAACAATGCAAGAAAAGACTGGAACATTTTCAATGAGTACTAGAAGAAAAAACTGACAACCTGAAATTCTGTATCCAGAATATCGTTGAAAAGCAAAGCAAAAATCAGAGATACATTGTACAACAATATCCAAATAGTTAACAGTACTGTAACATGTATTTATAACTTGTTAAAAGGATAAATTCATGTTATGTGCTTTACTACACACAAAAAAGGCAAAAGAAAGGGTTTTTTTAGACATACAAAAGCTGAAAGTATTCTTCACCAGCATTATAGTAAACTAGGGGCCCAGTGCACGAAATTCGTGCACTGGGTGTGTGTGGGGGTGTCCCTCAGCCCAGCCTGCCCCCTCTCACATACTGGGAGCCCTCAGGCGTTGACCCCCATCACCCTCTAATCACAGGATCGGCCCTTTGCCCAGGCCTGACGCCTCTGACAGAGGCGTCCAGCCCGGGCAGCGGG